GCACTTCACGAAAGCACTGTATATATACCTAATGCGTACTTATTCGGTCTTGTGAGAAGACTAGAATTCTCATTATGGATTGTTAGATTTATTTTTGTTCCTTGGAGAAAGAAATCGATTTATTTCCTCGCAAAAGTGCCTATACGTGTTAGAAGAGATTAAAAAACTCACCAGTATGAAATCTGCATATTATAGTCCACAGTCCACATATGAATGTTCAAAACACTTCACAAAACACCAACACAACACAGAATAACGCTATGTGGTCACTATACCGAACGATGTATATGAAAGACCTCGTGAAACACACAGTATTATCACTCTTTTTAATAAACACAGTTGTAGAATTAGAACAGTTCTTTTTCTACGGCTATATAACACAAAAAATTGCTATCATTTCACAAAATCTCATCTCCTATGAAATGTCACATTTCAAGCAATGATAGATCTGTTCAATAGATGAGCATTACCTAAGAGAAAATCAGATGGCTAGAAGCCGAAGGAATAAATAATTTCGCAGTTATCTGTGACAGCCGTAGAAAAAGTATAGTGTATAACTCGGACGCAATGCTAATTTCTAATCAAACTGACTATCATTCCGTGCTCGTTAAACAATACAGGTTGATTCAAGATGAGCGTTGATTAGACGGTTCTGGCAAACCAAGCAACGTATGATTCTGAAAATTTGATGGTTGGTATAACTTGATATGATCTACACATTTGAGATATTTTAAACGATGCGGCGTTGTCGTTGTTGATTTTTTCAAATGGAACACCCTTTCTCTCATTGCATCTTCAGATTCTTCCTGAAGAGCTGATTTCATGAGTTCACTTGGAGTCTAGCACGGATGTCAGAGATGAAGGATTTTCAAAATCGACATTTTTCAAAATTAAGTATTTTTTTGTGTCGAATCTATTCATTATTTGTCGAATCGGCTCACATGTTCCAATCTTAACTGTTGATTTAGTATTTACTTACATTCAATTGGAACATATACAAGGTGATCAGAATTATAAATCCACCCTGTACTTGTTCCAATCAAATGTCGGTAGATAGTAAATCAAAAGTTGAGATAGGGACATGGAAGCCGTTTTTACCAATAATGAGTTTCGACAAAAAAAAAACAAAGTAGAAAAATCTCGATACTGAACACCCTATATCTCTGTTATCATTTCCGATAGACCCCAAGTGTGATGTTTTGATGAAATCAGCTCTTCAGCAAAAATCAAAAAATGCAATGAACAGGGTGTTCCATTTGAGAAATCGTAGCTGGTGCTACTTTCTAGTAGAAGTGGCAACGCTGCTTCGTTCAAAATATTTTAGACGTGTAGATCATGTGAATTCATACATACCATCAAATTTTCAGATTCATCTGCTGCTTGGTTTGCCAGAAATGTCTAATTAAAGCTAATTGTGAAAAACCATGTATACTATTCCGCGATATGCACTAGTGACTTGATTCTTGCTTGAAACTGATACGAGCACGGACTTCCAAGTAGACCGTACGCGATGACATCTAACTTAAGACTGAGACGATTCACGTTTCGAATGACTAATTTGTTGCGTCACCTTTCGATCCTATCAATTCCCCAGACAAGTATTTATCTATGACTAATAATAATAATAATGATGATATCTGAATTACACAGGGTGGTGGGACGGAACATGGAATATACTACAGGTATACGGGGTCATTTGAAATGATAATCTCAACTGAAATGCGGACTTTTGGTAAACTTTCTAATTCCTAAAAAAATACAGTTTTTTTCGTATCAACTTATAACTTTGAATTATTATTGAAAATCACATTTGAGGAATATACCTTGGTGTATATTATAAAATTACATTTGATATATCACAAATGTTCCTTACCGATTCAATTCCAACTGATTGAGTTACCATTTATTATTAGAATAAATTGGTAAAATAAATTCCAAAATTGAATTGGATCAAACAGCAAAATTATGAACTAACAAGATCTTATTTCAGTTTTCGGTAACCCCCCACCCCCTGAAATTCGTACCGGGAATATTTTATGAAAAATTAAAAAATGAAACTACATACCTAGATGATCATATGAAATTGTCTTGACAATAATTGTGATATTGAAATGATTGTAGCTCTATGATAACTAGAAGGGCCTCAACATTAGCCATTTTAGAAAATGGCGTCTGATATTGTGAGAAATTGACATGCTTGCACGATTCGATTCGTTGAGGAATGGTTTCACATGTTTCAGGGCCTCTGAATACAAATTTACCTAAAGAATTATGTCAATATCATTTTAGAATGAGATTAGATGAGATTTTTGAAAAATATGAGGTATTGAACGCTATGCGAATATTCCGAAAACCACGATTGAGACAAATTTCTCATTGGCGTGACGGTCTCTACTGAAAATGTCCTATTCGACACTGGTTAAGCATGGTCTTACGACTAGTATGACGTACCGTATTGAAATGGACGAACTCCTTCGAACAATAAAGGGATTCCCTTTCGTGCGCTCTAAGAGATAAAGAAAAGTTAGTTTTCGGAAAGTAGAAAACATGTTCATGTCCAGATTGAGAAGACGAACACTATGTAGAACTTTCGGATGCTGATAATTTCACTTATTAATGATTCAAGACAAATTTTCTACTACATGCGAAACCATTTATTATCACGAATAATGTTCAGATCATTATCTGGCAAACTCCAGCTCAACTTACTGATTGTTTGAACACTCATATTTTCAATTTGTGCTTTCCATCAGGTGGCAGGGTAATATGCTTTTTCGGCATTTACAGCGTTTTGTTTTACATCTATACTTGCAGCCACATTTATCCACAGCCCTGCAAGCCAACCAGATCTTGAGAAGCTCACTCCAGAACGCAACCTCCTCCACACTCTTTCTTCATGAAATGGCGAGAGGGACGGTGGTGATCCTCAGATGTGTCCACTGGGGACAGCATCAGTTCTATTCACATTTTGAACAAAACATCCAGAGAGGGCACAATTGCAACTATATGTTTGTTTTCTGTGTACTGCAACTTCATAAGCGTTCCTTTTATGAACATCAAAACCTCAGAAAAAGCGATATCCTCTCAGAAAAAAGTCTCTCCTGCTGGACTTCAACACTCAGCTGGGCGAGTTAGGAAATCTCTTCTGGTGGAGCCATTCTGCGTTTCCTGTAGGTAATTTTTTTATGATATTTTCATCTATATGATAGGTCTCACATCAATGGAGTAGTTGATTTCGATTTCCTGGCTCTCTACAAATCAAGCATGATTCAGCATTCAAGACAACGGCAACAAAGCTAGACCAGATCGTACGACAAACCTCCTTGGCATCAAAATGGATTATTTGGTTGAGCATTCATTTCGTTTTGCCTGTGCCATATCCTTATCCTACAGAAAGTTGGGCTGGGTAGTTGATAGTCGAGACTTTGGAGGAAGTCGGAAAAGGAGGACCTACAAGTTTCAGTGGATTTAAAATTCCAGTATGGTATCCCTGGTTTTGTTTAGCTGCCACCGCATTATTAGCAGGACACACAAGTTTTCCATAACCCTGATAGATGCAGCATGTGTATCAGTCAAGTTTGGTTTTGTTACATTCACCAGTCGCTGCCAATATTATGTACCTATACCTACTCACCGAAAATTCAAAAACTACTGCAAACTGCAACGAACTCAAACTATTGTTCTTGACTGCTACAGACCATTCGTGGCATATTTTCAGAAAAAGCCAGACACCTGCGAGAGGACATACGAATAGAAAGAGAATGTGAGCCATGGGGTTAGGTGTAAGGTATTAGAATTTTGCTCGAAATTAGGACAATACCTCAATTTCAGTTTCATGTATAAAAATGGATGATCATATTATGGCTACATGGCAAAAATGAAAGACAAATAGTTTCTTCACAAGTAGCCAATATGTGAGTCATTCTCGGATGATTTTTTTAAACTCAATGAAATTATTGGCAATCTTCTGGGACCGATTAGGGTATGGAAAATATTCTGATAATATCGTCTCTAAGTAATGATCTTTGGATTTCTGAGCCTATCAAGAATCGACATGTCATCGCATTCGGGCCACACCCAACTTCATGTATTACAATAAAATGCAACTTAACAGCCAATCAATGAACTAATATCAAACTGTGATACATAGTTGAATAGAGAATTTTAAGGCAGATAAGATAGGCTATAGAAATAGACAGGGTGCCATTCGAAAAAAAAAGTTGGGTCTACTTCCGATCAAACAGGTGGTTGATAAAAAATGATATTGGATTCAAGGGAAGCGCCATCATAGATGATATAACATTCGTGAATTTCAAATTTTTATCTCTAAATAAAAAAACTACAGGCTGTTACATGTCTCCTGTGTCAATTATTAAATGCATCATATATGTCAAGAGGACCATTTTAGTGAAAAACTACTCTTCGATAGCGCCTATAGGTTTCTGATTTTTACAATACCCGTACCCTTTCACACCCCACTTCGGGCATGATTTTTTTCTAAAAGTTACCTCAGGACAACTTCGTTGTTGAATTCATATCCAGACACCTCCAAAACATGTAAATCCATACCTCACACGGCTAGAATAATGCAAGCATGTCAATGGCCCCATATCGGCCGCCGAATTGTTCAGGAGGGATCACACTCAGGTGCGCAGTAAAACTGTCAACTATACATATATAGAAGGGCTTTATCTATCAATCTGGCTATCATGCTAAGCAGAGATATAGGGCGGTAGCTACCTGGCAATTTAGGGTTCTTGCCTGGTTTTGGTATTGGGACTATATAATGCCTGTTTTCAGAGACTCCGAATAGTGCTGAAACTTGATTATCGCACTTGCCCTACATTCACACTCACCCTGGTGTACCTACCTCATACAAATTCGTATTTTCTTGTCAAATGATAATTATCATTAAGTAACTCCAGACAACCATACTGTTCATTGGATGCGGGAATGCTATTCGCTTCTACTCAGACAAACATAAAAATCCTATACACTTTATTATATTTTTCTACGTCACTATATACATTCAATTACACATCAGTACATACACATATTATTTTCAATAACTAACACAATCTTAGGGTTAGGTGAGTATATAAAATAATTTCGATTAATATCCTTCCCGTCTGCAAATTCATCCAAACGAAGAATTTTGCACCGGCACAAAATTCTGGACCACTTCGTCTTCGTCTTCTTCATCATTACCGTCGCTTGGCTTGTCCTTAGTTTCGTCCACCTCTCCCATCAGCGCCCTGTACTTCTTCGCGATGGCTTCCCAATCGGTCACGTGCTCGATCCTGGTGGCTTGCGTGGTGAAGCTGAGCTGTGAGCCCAACGGACTCATCTGCCCAGCGGAGAGGGCAACCGACTCCTTGGGAGCGATCTGCCTGCCCTTCTTGACCTTGGACAGCCACTTGGCGCCGGCCTTGGATCTGGGGCTCAGCTGGGAGGACTTCTGGAAGCTGCCCATTAGGTGGACCAGGCTCTGGCGCTTCCTGGATCTCACTGTAAGAAATTCTGTTTCTCCATTCGTTACTGTGTTCGCTACTAGGTTTTTTGGAACGTTTACATAGATTCAATACCCGCCATAATGCGATGAAAAAACGAGGACTTTTTACTTATACAGCATGGTGCAAATGGAATACATTGATTTCTAGTCAAACTGTACGCTAATTCTTCATTTTTTGATAAGCCGTTTCCGAAAAATGCCGTTTTAAACTTAGAGAAGTATGAAAATGAATATTCTCAGATAAATTCTTATGAACATAAAAAAATGGATATATATACAGGGTGTTTCATTGGGAAAGGTGAATAATTTAACTGTGGATAGGGGTCACTGAGGTGATTTCAAAAAACCCATGGTTGATGGGTGTTCGACTTCTTATAACCGAGGTACAGGATGTTTCATCAATTTTGTCCATATATTCATTGTCTCATAACTTTCCTACCAACCTGTATATATTTTTGAAAATTGGTACACTTGCTCAATCTACCCTGTGGAATTGATTGAGGCAACAACAAAAGATAAAATCCAGGTCCGGCATCACTTGAAATTCACAAATTCTTTCTGCCAGAAAACAACACCTTATACATTCGAATTTCTCATTTTTTGCCATATCTGAAAAGATCATCGAAATTTCTATTCAACGATGTGCTTTTTATTCGTGCACAGACGATTTTAACTATTCATATTATGTGCTCAAAATATTATTTTTACTCATTTTGGGGTACAAAATTGGAATCAGACGAGATTTATTAATTTTATTACTTCCTATTCAGTATACGTGAGTATCACATTTAGAAGGAGTATTTCATATGGTTCATTGTTCCAGATTTTGTTGCAGGTCCGTCATCAAACGATAAGATTTCCACAAAATTTCGTGGAAATCTGATCGTTTGTGGAGTTTTTACATTTGTCATGACATGACAGTGACAGCTCACGTATGATTTGTGTTGTGACATTTCCATTAAAATTGATAATAATCAAATTATTCCAAACATTTTTCATACTTCAAAACGTTCTTTCAGCTGTAATGAGATTTGTAGATTCGACTAAGTATATTCGGTTTTGAGAATGTATCATTTTCGTTGGATACATACACATCGGTACCTGAGTATATTATGTCGGCGTCAAACAGTGAAATTCGTCATTTCCTGAAATGCCTAGTCATTTCACGTATTGCCGGCAAACAGCGTAATTCTAAATTCCGTACACCATTTGCCTAATAGTTTCAGGCATTCTCTGTAATGACGGAAGGAAGGTTTATTTAGAGTCCCTGTATATAACTTAGACAAGAGTCCGGACACAGCTATAATACTTCTGTCCTTTTCTGTTTTCAAAAAATGCATTGATGATTGAATTAAGGAATAAGACATATATACCGAGCTCTGTCTTCTCAATTCCCCTAGTATCAATGATTGTCAGAAACCCTTTTGAGGGTTAGATTATTTGTCAAACCGTTCATAGCCGTAGGTAGAAGTGAGAAATAGGGCTATTTTAACTAGAATAACTATTAGTTTTTCGAATAATGAACAACAGGGCTTTCTAATTTCGAATCGATAATTTTCATAATCAATTCCTGAGATGGCTATTGCAAATTTTTGTCATCAGATATTTCTTCACTTCATCAGATATAAGAAAGATAATTTAATTGTTTTACGTGGTATCACATTTAGCCAAGAAAATATAATTGTTTTTTGTTGGGATATAAAAAAATAGAAGATATATAATTGTTTCAATATGATTTTCTCCGATTCTCTCAATTTAATAACACTCATCAGAAATAAAAGCGACAAAATCAAAACAACAATATATTTGATAGCGAGTGGTTTATTAATTGTGTTTCCCACCATTAATTTCTTTCCGCATCATCTCATTCTCATTTTCTTTCTCTGCGAACGTATCATTCAGTAATTCCCAATACGATGACGACGGGACTCTTTTTTTGAACGTCTCTATTTCATAAATTGACGGCACAGCAGACTCTTTCAATTTGAAATCCATCAGCTTGAAAAAATCTCTATCAAAATGGGCCAAAAATTCATTCTTTTTGTACTGTTTTCACAAGTAAATTTGAATATTTACCTCACATATTGCGGATTTCTTGAAATTAATTTTCCATTCAGGACGTTTCATTGCATTCTTCCATGACATTGTCTTTGAAGGATCATTCGGAGAATTGAATAACTTGAATCCCTTTTCTAATGAATTATCGCAATAATGTACGCAGCAGGACATTGAAATAATTCAAAATGCTAAATTTTGGCGGTCATAAAATTTCAAAGTGACAGTGACAGACATTCGGAATAATTTAAAAAAGCGGGCGGAACGACTATGGTGTTTCGTCACATTGTCAGGTGGGCAAACCAAATGAAACAATAGTATATTATTCAACGAGCGCATAATGATGGCTATTACCCACGAAGACGAAAGTTGCAGTACGAGACGAAGGCGAGTGCTGTAATCATCTGAGTGGGTAATAGTCATTATGCGCTAGTAGAATACTATACTTTATCTACAACTATTCAAATATCAAAGCAACTCTGAGAGTTCAGAAATATATCTTTGAAAAAAATGAAGGTTATTATATTGCAAAATCACTAAATCTGATTTTAAATACTCATTAATTTCATCGAAATTTTTTTGACAAAAATTCCATTCAACGAACAGCTTATAACTTATTTCAATAATTTTGATTCTGAAAATATGATAAACAATATTGGATATAACTTTTATTGACAGGAAAAAAGTCTTGCAATCACATATCAGTCAATATTACCAGGTATCATATGATATTTCACTTTTCAGTTGTAAAATGAATCATACTATTGCAGATTATTCATTTTTTGCTTTCGCTGTAGCGTTCCCCCACCGCGATGATTGATTGTAGTACCCTGTCTCTAGAAGCTAGTTATCAACAATGAAATTCCATGGTTCTGATTGGTCTTTACTAATCTATTCCAATAGCCTGTAGCCATATTAGTGTTAGTGTGAGCCTTAGATCATACAGGATCTAAGGTGTGAGCAAATCTGCAAGTGTCAAGTCCTATTTTATGATTATGGTTACTCATGATGGTTACTCATGATGATAGTCACTGTTGAGGATGGAAAACAGTGAATTCTTATTTTTCCGTGTATTTGTAGAATTAAGGTGATTAAAACTATGAGAACAATGGTACGGTGGATTTGCAAACTAATAGAACGAATACCTACCTAGTTGAATTTGACAAGACGATGGGATGTCAAATTATTACGCCACCCTACTGTCATTATTACTCTTATTACTCGATTCATCACAATAATGACTGCCATTAAATGTCGAAAATCGAGTAAGCAATGTATGAATTACTCAATAGTTGTAGATAAAATATTAAAAACCCCAACGGCTGTCAGTTTTGTGTCCGGACTCAGGTTTATTTGGTTCGAGTCAGCTTAAGTTGTTTGAAAGCAGTAGTCCCTTCTGTTCTCTCAAGTAATTTTCTGAAAAATATACTGTTACGCTGTTTGCCGACAATACTTGAAATGACTAGGCATTTCAGGGAATGACGGATTTCACTAATTGACGCCGAAATATATATTGCATAATATCATTGACACTATTGACAGTTTTTTCTTCTACATAGGTAAAGCTTGTTTATCAATTCATCATTATTCACCTAGGTTTGAAAAGTGTTACTTCTAATTAGAGGAAATCATCGAATAATGATGATTTCTCAGGTAAGTGGTAGAAAAATGATATTATTACGTCGGGACCTTATACCTTATTTTTTTTTCCAGAAACAGAATTGACATGAAACGGTCCTTATTTGCTTGGAACATTGTTCTAAGAATTCTAAAATTGTTCTATCCGTCATTCGGTTGCCCCCTTGCGAGCAACCCTCAGAAGTCTTCGAGAGTCTTGTGCGAGCAAGGAATGACGGGGGCCTTACCTTTTGACGTGTGATCCCAAACACGTTCTTGGGCCATCAGAAAAATGTCTGCAGTCGATGGGAATCGAACCCACGACCGGCAAGCGAATGCGGATTAGAATATTGACACTCTGTCCGCACGGCTACCTGTCTCCCCAGGTGAAATGAAATGATGATCTGAGATGGGAAAACATTTTTTCAATTTCTTGAAAACCATAGTCAGTGTATGATCCATGGTTCACCGGCCTGTATATCGAGAAATCTTTTGGGTAAGGCTACAAATTCAAAAACTGGCAAAGGTCAGAGAGTTTGAGCCGCTTGAGTCAGATTGCTCCCGCTTCTCTAAACTCTTGATATGCTGAACATTTTTGAAAAATGCTCAAGATGGATACTTTTAGCCCTCTTGGTTCAACTTTCTAGTAGGGGTAGATGTTACCCTTAGAATCCCGAATGGAAAGGGGGGTGGCACATCATTTTGAAGGGCGTTCAATTCTCTTTCCAACATCACACTAGTTTATGATTTTTTGATGAGCAGTTTCCGGAAAAAGCCGTTTTGAACTGACAGAAGTAATTGGGGTCAATGCAATGATACCAATAATACCAACTTGAAAACCATGCATATCAATCGAGATATCAGTTCAGGCATGTTCTAATTACATCTGTAAGTTCAGAACGGCATTTTTCGGAAACTGTTCATCAAAAAATGGAAAACGAGGGTATAGTTGAAAAGAGACTTGAACGCCCTTCAAAATTATGTACATCTTGACCTCCCTTTTCATATTAGGTTCTAGGGTTCTAGGTTACCTACAACCTATACCCCTCCTAGGGGGTTGAACTAAGATGGTTAACATATGCATTTCAAGTGTCCTCCTCAGAAATGGAAGTGACGTACCTTTCCGATTTTTCATATCATTTACTAAAAGAGAGATATTATTGGGTGGGAAGTTTTTTAAGTAACGCAACATTTTTCGAAAACTGCTCGACAAAAAATTATCAACTAGGGTACCATCAGAAAGAAAATTGGACGCCCTTCAAATAAAATTGACCTGTTTTTTCCATTCCTCATATTATTCACTGCAACGAAGATATTGAGGGCAGGAAGTTTTCAAAATGTCACATTGTATTGTGAATTTATCTGTTTAAGATTTGGTGGAGGAATGGTAAATATTTTGGTGAAGGAATGGTCACCAAATGAGTCATAACAAAAATCATTCACATATGAAATTCTGTCATTATCGAAGTATTCATAGAATTATGGAACTATCAATACTGTAGGTACATGTTGTATACAGTGTTATCATCATCTTACCCATTTGGCAGTGAGAGAGCTATCAGACTGTTTTTACCAACACAATTATTGTCAGTTTGTAATTTGGTGGTGGTATGGTTAACAATTTTGGTGAAGGAATTACCGCCAATTTTGTTTTTTCGAATATCATTCACATAATACAGGGTGGGCCACCAGTAACGCCTCGGTCTCTAGAAGGCTAACCACTTATCTTCTTGGAATTCTTCCTCTCTAGGAAGTTGCATGTCAACATAGGCTACCATTCAAAATTATTTCGAAACATACAGGGTGTCCCCAAAAACCATAAAACACTGAAGTTAAACTTTTTTCTATCGAACACCCTATATATTATTTCATTTTGGGATTCTCCCTGATGAGCTGATTTCAACGACCCATTCATACTTGGGGTCTAGCAGTTATAATTACTGAAATATAGGGTGTGAAAAATCGAGATTTTCCAAGTTCAAGAAATTTTTGTGTCGAAACTATTCATAATTGGTCAAAACGGCTTACATGTCCCTATCTCAACTTTTGATTAACTATCTACTGATATTTAATTGGGACATACACTGAAAAAAAAATTGAGTGAAATTTCACTCAAGGTCCACGCAATAATGAGTCAATTTCGGTCCACACCCGATTGAGTTGAAATTGCACCATACTCGACTGTGTAAAATGGTAATTCATGAACCGATTCAATCAAATTTTTTATAAACATTCTCATTGATATGAGAACTTGATGAAATATCTAGTTTGAGTTGAGAATTCACTCAAAAATGTCAATCAGTAAATTCACTCATAACCACATATGCATTCACTCAGAGGAATTTCCTACAGTGTATACCGGGTGATCAAGATTCTGAATTCTGCACCACCCTGTATTTGTTTCAATTAAATGTCATTTTCCGGAACTATAGCACAACAAAAGCCATCAACAGTGTATATATATCCGGGAAAAAAGTACTCACTTTTTTCCCACGGGAAAAAAGTAATTTATGAAAAGTGACATTTTATTACCTGCCAACAGGGATGAAATGCCAAACTTTTTTCCCGTCATAGAAAAAACACATATACATAACCACAAATGCACTCGGAGCAGGAATGCATAAGTTAGTTGGCTCGATCATTAACGAAAATATCATTGAATCAATAAATCACTATCGGCTACATTTGATAATATCTATGGCATCTCGTTACCCTTTTATGTATATGTACAATTCTCTGAGTACCTCAGAGGAACCAAGCTCATATCTGCTGTTAAAGTTACCTATACAAATTACCCGCACTCTTGCACAGTTACGCATGGCCAATCATTTTAAAATTAAGTTTACTTTGAATGGAATTGTGTATTTGATCGATCCAGATGTAATATGCACTGTTTGCAATAGTAATAAAGCCGAAACTTTATTTCATATCATTTTTGAATGCCTGATTTACACTGTTATGAAAAGAAATTTACAGTGCCTTCATAATTTGGAAGAACTTATCCATGCTTTAGAGAATATTTCTATTTCTATAGCCAAAGAAATCTCCGAATATATCTGGAACATCCTTAGGTTACGTTCATTTATATTGAACGAATGATGTAGTTTATCATACATTCAAGTTTTTACAATTCACTGGTAGAAGATTTTTATTTTACTTATTAATCTTTATATATACAGTATGATGCAAATGTATGGAATAAATTCATTTCAAAACAAGACGACTTCCGAAAAAAATCCAAAAAGTAGAGTTCAGAACTTTTTTATCGATGTATTTTCTCAACTAGACGACCCTTCGATGTTCAATTCTCAGTAGAAGATCTCTGCAAGATTCAGTTAACCAAATGATAATCCATTTAAATTTCAATCTTCTTTTGCAAAATTTTGACTATTGGATAGACGATCAGTATAGACCTTTCAAACGAGGTGTCACATGACCCCTGTTTGTAATTAAAAAACCGTCCATCACGTCATTACTCCAACACCGGTGACGTAACATCTCTCATATGAATGTCATGAGATGAGGTTTCAAAAATTAAAACTCACGTGTTTTTGGAATTTCTTCAAAGTCGCCCATTTCTGAAATAATGAATTTATTCCATACATTTGCATCATACTGTATACATATATCTGTATTCTCACACACACATACTTCTTGCTGTGAACCCGTTTTTGGAAGCAATAAAATTATTATTATTATTATTATTATTATTATTATTATTATTACATTTAATGATACTCTCCTTCCTAACTTCCTTCCATCGCTCAAAACAGAGTGGCCTAAATCAACTTCTTTTCATCCCAGGAGTCCACAGCCAAGCCATGTCCCAACCTTTCACAGACACCCTGTATAATAATTTTCACAAACTTCACGGTGAGATGAAAACCTCAGTATAGAAAACTTCTCCATTCTTCCATTATCGAAGTATTCATGAAAAAGTTCAACTATCCCTACTGTAGGTGCGTACATGATGTTTACAGAATTATCAAAAATTAATAAAACGGCTATTTAACGATTATAAAATCATCAGTTCAGTGAGTGAGTGAAGTGACTGCTTTTACCAACAAAATAATTGGTAGTTTGGATTATGGTGAAGGTATGGTCAACAATTTTGGTGGAGGAATTGTCGTCAATTTTCATGTATAGAAAATGATTCACATACAAGATGAAATCCTGCCATTATCGGAATGTTCAACTAAAAGTTCAACTATCGATACAGCCGATTATTTTTCGCCTCGACACGTGTTTTCGCTAACTATGTTAGCATCTTCAGGGGAATATTGAAACAGTTTAAATCTCCTCCTGAAGATTCCTAGAACATCCTACCTAGGGAGGATAGAGAGAGGAGGTGGGTGTTGGACATTTTTTTGAACCATTAGAGATTATAAGTTCTTGGAAATACTTCCTTATGGATAATCCGGCCCTGAAAATATCAATATTTGAGGCTATCAGCTCAACAATGGCCAAAGTCACACATTTCAGATAATCTGTTTTTCCCTACAAATATTCCTCAATCCAGTTATTCATTTCAATATTTCGGTGGATAAGTAAATGCGACACTGGCCTAACCAACATTTCTGTGGCTCAGGTCATTATCTCTATACGTCTTCTTAGTAAGGAAACGAATAATTTGCATTGTTTGCAAGACAATAAGAGTGCTAAAAAGTGTGTTCATTGAGTGTCTTCAAGTCTTATTTCAAGTAAGGTGGTGGAGTCATTTCAAGAAAAAAAAGGGCAGGAGTTTGGCATCTAATCGCTGCTGTGTTTGGGTATCTTGGTATGGTATACTCCCTTCTAACACCGCATCTTGCATTCCAGTTCGTGAGACCAAATAGTACAGTTTGTTGGAGATCGTGGAGCGATAATAGTATCATTAGCTAATTTTGGAACAAGAAGTTTCTACCATATTGTTGACATATCTCACATCTCTGTGTGCGTGCACCACAACTAGGTATCCATCATACCTTATGTTTTTATTTCAGTTATATTGAGATAACATTTTGCGTCAAGGTTTGGTGGATTCCGCACTATCGGACATAAAATCATACCGGTTTTGAAATATGGCCCGAGACATAGTTTTTTTGTTATGAATTTTTTGTTTTTGATATTACATATGTCTCAAATGTTATATTACTGTTTGTTTCTCATTAGCAAAGTTATAATAATGTTGAAGACTCTGGTATATATGCCTCTACTACCTCAGTATGGCTTCAACATCTTTTGCGTTTGGAGGTAGGCACTGTTTCATCAGATTTCTGAATCAGGGGCATGGGTTGACAATGTCTAGTCGAAGGGAAGGAACAAGAAATCCAAGGACTAGTTGATGGGAAAACGCATCAACGAGGAGAGAGTAACTGGAAGCGGAATAAGGCCAAAATCAATCTAAACTCTGGTAAAGAAGCGAAGGCTTTTCAAGAAGTAAGAGAATGTTGCAAGTTCAACTATCTTGAAACAAATCCACCTCAACGTCAACAAGCTATTTTCATATTTTTCTAAATTTTATAAATTGTGTTATTCGAGTCGGTCAATATTTCAAAACAAAATCATCTTAACCTGTAAACCACCGAACTTGAGGCCTTGTATCCCAAAGGTGAAACCATAGACGCAAAAAAGGATCTTCTGGAGTTGATCCCCTTATCTAAAATGAGGATGTAAGAAGACGCATCAGGTGAAATATTTTCAGAGGAAGAAGACAGCAGCTATAGTTATCCATAGTCAGATAAAAGGATCAAAACTCTCAATTATTATGTTTTCAATAATATCCCAGCATACTTGAACCACTTAACAACATTTTTTTGATAACATTTTGAAATCAACAGTGGCCTAACCATTTCTGTCTGAAAAAACATAATATGGGTTTTCTCATTGAAGCTTCATCATGTATCATTAGTAGTGAGGAAGTGAAAATTGAAAATATACACACCACAAAATAATGTAGTATCTCCTTCAATTATCTTTGGCCATTTATCTCGAAAGTAAAGAAATGGGCTTAGGCCATTGTTGCGCTGATAGCCTCATTTATGATTGATATATCGATATGTGAACGGTATCTCAATGACAAAATTGATATAGCGGGTGTTGAATCCATCTTACAAACTACTGCCGGGAAAAGAAAAATAAGTCTGGTGAACCAGACGATAAGGTGCTACTTTATTTCGTGCATGGAAACATTTGTGGTGTATGATCGTATTTACCTCGTTTTTTACATACGTCGACCAAGTAGAACAACCAAGTGGTTATCAGGTTGATTGGCGAAGGTGCAGTGGATGTTCTGTGCATCGAACGGATCAGTTTGCTCAGACCAAATTTCCATTCGATGTCTGATTGGGCCTAAGTAACAAATTCAATATATGGGGTCAGTTCATCCAGCTTTGAGGAAAAAGAACTAGGTATGTCTAACCCTATTTTTTGTCTTCATTATTTCAACATGAGAGATATATTTTTGGATGTATGATAAATTGATAAACATCATACAGGACGTGGAAAGAAATTCTGAATTGAGAAAACCTGATCACGAATCTGCGATTGAGGTCTATAAAAATGATAAGTTTCCATCGTTCAAGTTTGAAACCCTTGATTGGGTGAAAGTATTGAAAAGGAATATTCTCAGACATAATTATTAACATAAAAACATGGATATACATATATAAATAGAGAAATACATTGAGAATTCGCATTCTCTCTGTGATGAAAATATCAATTCTTTCTCGGTTTATTCAACAAGAAACAACTACTTTCCTGGCTACATGCCACGACATGTACATTGCATTACATCTATTGAACACACACGATAAGAATTTGAAAATAAAATCTTCCGAAGTAGAGAATTTGCATTCTCCTTCATATAAAGCTATGTACATAAAATCATTCTGAATATTCAACAGGAAACAACCACTTTCCTGGCTATATGCCACGTCGAAGATCGAATTATATCTGTTGAACATCCAAAAAGAGAGCATGAAAAATGAAAATTATCTGAAATTGAGAATTGACATCATCTCCCAAATCGGATAAAATAATATGATGTATTATGATATAAAAATATTACTCACCAATATGTTCAGTATTGAAATGTAAATTGAAATGTATATGAGGAGTGTACTTGTATGAATTCTGATCTTTCCACGTCCTGTATGCTGCCCAGATGACATGAGTATGTCAAAAAATCATAATTCCCAGATGTCAGTTCGTTATAGTTTTGTTATATTATAGGGATATAGAAATTGTGTATATCATCAGGTTACTGATGAGGATTTGATATCCGAAATGAGTTTATTCGAGTGAAGTCGTATAATCTGTTTGTGAGAGATATAATTCCCATATCACTGATACGAATGATTCTTTTTTGGAAACTCATCAAGATCACAGTTTATACAAGTATACTTCTCATATACATTTCAATTTTCATTTCCATACTGAACATATTGGTAAGTCATATTTTGGATGTTCAACAGATATAATTCAATGTTCAACGTGGCAAATAGCCAGGAAAGTAGTTGTTTTCTGTTGAATATTCAGAATGATATTATGTGCATTTCTTTATATGAAGGAGACTGCAAATTCTCTACTACAGAAGATTTTATTTTCAAATTCTTATCGTGTGTGTTCAATAGATGTAATTCAATGTTCGTCTTGGCATATAGCCAGGAGAGTAGTTGTTTTCTGTTGAATAAACTGGGAAAGAATAGATATTTTCACATAGATGATGCGAATTCTCAATGTATTTCTCTATAAATATATATATATATACATTCTTTTATGTTCATAATTAGGTCTGCGGGAATATTCCTTTTCAATCAGTTTGGATTCCAAAAACAATGAGCCTATCCAATGACCTGTTAATGTTTGTGCTATAATTGGCACACATGGTCAATAATAATAGTTATTATTGTATCTAGTACGCGAAATATTAATTTGGTGACCAAGAACTGATGTTATTAACCAGGCGCAGCCGAGTTGAAAAAATAGTCGAGATAACCAAAGTATTTCGCGCACAATTTTTTTCTGCAAACGTCAAAAAATATTGTTCTGAAATGAGTAATATATGCTTTTGCTTTCTGTTTCAACTTGTTATTACATGACGGAAGTATGTCCGGAATAATAGGAGCAAATAAATTGCTGTGTCGTGGATTTGGCTCAATTTCCTGAAAGTTTCCTGAGATCTACCATTCAATTCGTATCGGATGGCATAATTCTCATCTCGTTATCAATTGGCAAAATTGAGTGTAATTTTCAGCACAGGAAAGTGAAACTTTTTCATCTTCTTCCTCAGGACAGTGATTGGCACATGTGCCGTTCGATGGAATACAATTTTTCCTTTGGCACATATAATTATCATTTCGTTATCAGATGACGGTGGGTTGCAGCCGGCTCTCCTACTAAAATGTATCGAAAAGAAATGTCGCTGTCTCCCCAACTATTAAGAAGAAACTTCTTGTTCACTTCGGAAGGCAATAACTACTGTAAAATTTTCTTTTATGAATGTGAATTATCTAGTTTGAAATATGAAATGTTCAAGAAGATTGTTCTGTTCTACATTTTAATAATCAACAATCAACCAGTTTTTGAGCTAATGAAAATGGTGATATTTTATTATTAGGTGGTTTGTGAAAACTAATTTTCTTCATATTTAGAGTCGCTATCGGATTTCTCAGAAAAAAAGTACCTACTGTGACCACACCTAGTCTTTATTTATTCCGAAACACATCAGGAATCGATGAGCGTAACCAGCGTGAAGAACGGTTCACCCTGTAGTAGACACAAAAATGTTTATAATATAAGAAAACATGCATGCTTTATGGTATCTTGCTAACAATTTGACTGAAATATCAATAATCAGATAGGTAGGTACTCATCTAATAAAAATACAATCAGTGTTCGTGCAAAAGCAAAGTGTAGATGGTGTAGTGAAGTTAACCATGCACATACATACAGGGTATTCTACTTTCGAATGCCAAACTTCACAGGTGTGGTATAGGTATAGTTATTTCATTATGAAGTAATAGATATGTAACATTTATGTAGTATTAACGTTACAAGGCCGTTATTTGCGTATCGGACGTGTGTCGTTCGAGACTTTTCGTAATCCCGCTGAATGATTACATTTTGTTTCCGAGGAAAGAACAAACCGCACGTACCTACCCCGTTATTCTCCAGAAAAATCCCAACATCGTGCTGTTATGGAACAGTTGATGACCGCCGGCCGTTAAATAATCTTAACGGACGGATGCTGTTACATTAACTTTTCAATGGGCGAGTGGACTGATGATGAATTATGAGCATTCAATTACTCCACTGTGTCGTAAGGAACCTAAATTAATTCGTGCAGCACATCTCACGCTTTTTTTATGTTAATAATGAGTCTATGCGTTGCTCGAACTTGTTGAATTTCGGTGCTCATTTTAAACGAACTCTCATGGCCGCCGTTTGGCGATACCGAATGAATGGTTACGTTAGTTTTTATGCTGTTTTGTTATTGGTGAGATAATCTTCCATTCCCACTCATGAAGCAAGGATATCAAGTCATCAAGAAGATGTTAGAGTCCTGTCGTTGAATAAAACATAATAGGAGAAACCCATATGATATTCTAGTTCATTCTAGACTTTTTCAAGCAAACAGCATGTCCAAATATTTCTTATTCTCCATAATAAAATATCATGTATATGTTGGAGACTTTGCAACATTGTGCTGAATGCTGAGAACTGACAAGACCACGCCCACAAGTCGTGCGCCGTGTTGTCACGTTAACCGATTCATATGTCCTCTAGTGTGAATTATTATCAGTAAGCGACGAATCAAGAGGGCATTTTGAGACAATTGCATTTTTATTGCTAATTAGGAATATTACCAATACTCAATTGAATTCATTAATTATTCAATTACTGATATTTCTGTAGTTCCCAATCGTATTTCAACACGTGGTAACTGTGATATGGTCTGCCCCTACTGACAAAATCGTGGCGTCAGTTTTTACCGGCAGTACATTTCTAGCCGTTTAAAAATCACCGTTGCATTATTGATGATTCCAGCACCTAACCGTAATAGCACACAATGTCCTAGGGACGTCCCTATTTGGTACAATTCAAGTCCGAATGTCCCGGACCAAAAATAAGTGTCCTTGGGACGTCCCATCCCGTACATCTCATGCAATGTCCGAGCAAGGACGTCCAGGGAATGTCCCAGCAGGTACATCATTTGAAATGTCCTAGAAATAGCATCCCTCAGACGTCCCACGTGGTACATATTGTAGAATGTCCATACAAGGACGTCCTTGGCATATCCCTGTTGGGATATGATTTTAAACGTTCCTTTAGGGACATCCATCGGATGTCCCGAGAAGTACATATTCTGGCATGACTTCAGATCTTATATAATGTCCCTTCTAGATAACCATAAAATATCCCTGATAGTACATTCCTTCAAATATCTCTGCACAGACGCCCTTAATATTTCCAGGATCGTATAACAATCGATATGTCCCTTAGGGACATCCTTTGAATGTCCCTTAGTGATATCCGTCGGATGTCCCAATTGGTACATGAACTGTACTTATCCAATGTCTTTGAAATAACGTCCTACGGACGTCCCAGTCGATACTTTCAATATGTTGTCTCTGCGAGGACCTTAACTTACACCTCGCCGACTAATGGTTGCTCGCAGGCTATAAATACTCCCCGTCAATGTATTTCACGTAAGTCCATTAGACATCCTTGGGAAACTTTTTCAGGATCTATTGGGGACCTTTTACGGACCATCAACTCAACTGGATGTCCTCATCAGTTATGCAAGATCTGGTCCTAGAAGGACCCACAAAAATTCAAATTCAAGGATAATTCGTACGTCCCTGGGACATCCTATGGACATCCAATTGATATTCCTCAGCGTTGCTGATAGGTTGTCCTACGGATATTCTAAGGATGTCCTCCGTAGTGCTTGGTGAGGAATACTGTAGGATTCAGGTATTCGATAGTTGTCCCAGGGACACCCCTCAAAAACGTCCCTAGTAGGACATTTGTGCGTCCCACAGACGTCCAATGGACGTCCACGGTACCGAATTCGAACGTCCTATGGACGTCCTGAATGTCTAGGCAGGACGTCCTAATGATATCAATGGGACATAATTGAGTTATTAGGGGAATTCGACCAAAAAATTGTTGAAAATTATTAAATTGGAAGGTATTTGAGTGATTCTATTTGAGAAATGAAAAAAAAATGGTCCACTCGCCTATTGCGACACATGACATAATAATAAAGGGGTCTACATATGTCTATATGTCGATGGTAGATCCCTAATTAAAACTCTTTGACCTCAAATCAATATTCATGTTGA